TTGGCGATGCCAATGTCGCTCACTACAATGGCAGGATCCCCTGCCGGACGCAGGCTGACCGACATGATGCTTCCATACTGCCGGGCCCACTCCGCCAACACCTCATGGGTATGTTTCTTGGACCGAGTCAGCGCCACGAAGTTCCCGAGGAAAGGCCACCGCCAGGGCCCCGGAGGAAGGTTCTTTGGACGTCGGAATAGCTTCAGGACCACGACGAAGATCAACAGGAAGATGGCGGCAGATTGGAGATTGAGCGCGGTACGGGCGAAGGAGAAGAAACTCGGGGCAGAAGTTCGACCAGCCATGTTCAACTTCAGCTGTGCGAGTTTGTATTAGCTAAGTGTGTGAGGGGGGGGGGAGGAGAGGAGCGAGAGCCGGATGGGACACAGCTGGAGAGTGAGGGCGTCCTACTGTAATACTATTATGACGGGGGGGTTGGTGGAAAGTTGATGGAGTAAAGTTCCAAGGACGGTGTGTTTGGTGCTCTGGGCTTATTCTCTCGCTCACTGGGTCCTGAGTTGGTGGATTATGAGGCACATCCACGAGGCAGCGGCAAGTTTAGGGAACCACATTAAAGAAGAAAAGAAATTGCACACATTGAATAATTATTCTGTACATGTGACAATGCAAATGTCTGTCTCTCAATGTCATTACAAACTGAGAGGGCCCACTAAAATTATATGCTAATTTGATCCCTAGAAAGGCCATTCAGAAAAGTCTGTCCAACAGAACTGAATAACAGATACATTCATTGTCACACAATGTAGCTTTGCCATGGAAAATATGTTGAGACTAAATTGCAGTAAAGTCTTCATACAATTCCAGTTATAAAATATAAAATAAAGTAACCAAAGAAAGGGTCGACAAATTCGTGACCTGGATTAAACGGAATTATTAAGTCCACGTTTTCCTATATGCAGTTTAAACAGCTAGGGATGCCTTGTTTTATCACGTTACGAATATTTATTACAGAGTTAAACCAATAAATTTAAAGCAAGCAGCACCAGTTTTGGTGATATTTATTTACGCTAAATTAAAAGTCGAGAGCCATTGTAGATATCGTCCACGTGTCTCTGCAATCCTGGGCAAACACGGATGTGTTCTCGAAGTTCGTGCATTATCAGACCCAAACAATTTCGAGAAGTCGCTGGAGTGCCTCTCGACTAAAGTTCATACCGAAGATCTAATGCAATGAAAATTTGTGCGTTGCGTACACAGTAATTGTGTCGGGAGATGGCCTACCCCAGTAGGCGACTAGGGCTGGGGTCCGCCCCCCCCCCCTAATTAAAGGAAGAAGGCTGGAGACGGAAATTTACCACTCTTCACTCTGCTGATTTATTATTCGCCAGTCGACGAAGTTCAATTGCGGTACACACAAAGAGAATGAAATGAACCCTGAAATAAAAAAAACCAAGTCCATTATTAATTATGATCTCATTAAACTACGCATCGATTCAACGAAGTAATAAAGCACTTTCAGCTTACCCAAGTATCCAGGAAACTGAGTCAAAAGGTGGGTCATGGAGGAAGGTTCCTTCCTCCATGGTATCGCCCACGTACACCATGGACGCTGTAAAATAAAATACACGTTACAATGATTCGATCGGGCACTGGCCGTACCGTTGAAAGCCTCCAAACTAGGCGTTGTCATGATTTGACTAGTAAGATTTTAAGTCACTTAGGAACATGCAGGCCTGTAAATGATAAAAATACTTACATCCAAAGACGTCAGTAAAAGGACTTTTGTCTTCTAATAACCAGTGGACAAGTTCCCAGTATTAAGAGAAAGGATGTTTTGCCACTTAGGCACCAGCATAGTGTTCCAACATTAGACGTGCATCGCTGCCTGAATATTCCTGCGCTATTAAAGAGGCGTTCCTTGCTCAGTGCCCTAATTTGATATCTAAAATGTAACTTTTATGATCCCCATTTATTGTAAAAAACTTAACTATGAAACATGACCACAAACTTAAGCCGCAAACACCAAGTTACGATGTTTGTTACACGGGTGCTATTTGTAGGTCAGTGTACGAAGATCACCGTGATCCGGCCAGGTCACATGCAAGTTAATAAGGCCGTGTCCGAAACGGGCCCGGCCTTCCATAGCTACGGCTAGGTCTACTGTCTACGTGTCTCCACACATTTCCGATGGAGCAAAGACCTAGACCTAGCATTAGAC